CAAGCATGTCATCAATTTTCAACTTCTCCCAGGAAAATAAGTTTTTCCCATTAGAAGCAACTGTAATGCACACTTGAACTTGGGAAACTTTTTGACAAATTTATACCCAACTATGATGCACATCCCCCTTTTCTTCTTTATTTTGTGATGGATGTTTATGGTACTTGAGTAAATGCAGTACATATATTATTGTGAATCCCAATAATTGAAGTTAGATTAGTTCAAGTTTTGAACTGTTATTTTCAGTTACTGATTCAGGCGACACCTGTCTTACATGTCTATAAAAAAAATTTGATTTCAAACCAATGAAGAAGGGAGTATTCTTATGCCCTGAAGTGCTTCTTTTTTTTCAAACCAGGTGTTTATGCCTGCATTAGTTACATTCTGTGGAATACTTTTTCCATTCTACACTTGGAAGTCGAAGATTAAAACTTTGAAATTGTCTTGGTCTGGAAAGAAAACAAGATTTTTTTTGAAATTTCTTATAATAATGTAGATTTTTTCAGGGCGTGGGTTTGGTCTTGTGAATTGTATCCGTCCATGAAACACAGGTGAGCCACTTGATCGATAGAAGAGAGAAAACAGGGAGATTCATTTCTAGTGAATGGCAGACAAGATACACAGAGAAAAAAGAGAGACAGAATTCTTGTTGTTTGAGTTTTTGGGCCGAGTACAGCAGAGTTTCGGTTGCCTGGAATGTGTGTTTTTGTAGAAGGGAGCGATGCAGACACATTTGCTGGGATTTCAGACCATCAGCGCCAATTGACAGGTTCATTTTGTTGATTTCATTTTGTGTATAAACGTTGATTGGGGAATTTTGATGGTTTTTGTAGAGGAGAAAGACATGGACAGGGTTTTCCAGTTGCCGAATACGACCTTCATTGGTGGCAGCAAACACCGGGCTTTGCCTTTGAGGGAAATTATCCAGAGGCTTGAAGAAGCCTATTGCAGGTCAGTAGACATTCACTCACGCGGAACAAAAATATTGCATTATTTTGTCTTTTTTTTCAACCATTCGTCAGCCTTTCAATGACCAGAAAAGAAATTCAACTTGAGGGGTTTTTGATTTGGGGGAAACCAAATTTTTTTTGCTGAAAAAGTAAATCATTGCTGGAAGTTGAAATGGGGGATCTTCTGGACCTTGGAATGTGTTTTAAATTGGTTGACAGGAGGATTAACTTGGAGACAAGGGTTTCATTTGCCAAAATTATTTGCTCACTTCCTTTTGAAACGCATTCAGCTACATTTTTATTGCTTTTTTCTTTCCTGGGTTGCCAAAATAATGGCCAAAGCCTGAAGAAAATGCGAGTCATGGAGGTTTTGAGGGAATGCATACCATTACAGTACTGTACTATGTACCTTACGTTTTTGACAAATGAAGATTTGAGCCAACAAGGTTCAACATTTTTTTTATTTATAAAGATAGCCATATAATTTGGTCTAAAATGCACTTTTTGAGGGTCATGTGTTTTATTTTGAATGAACAAATTGAATTACACTTGAATAGCTTATACATATTGGGTTTAAGCTTCAGCCTTTGTGAAATGTTGGGTAGATGTCGCCTGGATGACTAAACTGACAAACATTAATTCTGGAACAACTTAAATTCCTTCAAACCCTGACCCAATAAACTTCAACTTGAATCTGAAGTGTCAATTTGATAACCGTGATTTCTTTCTTCTGGAAATAAATTCAAAAATTACTATTGAATAACTTGCTTGATTTTTTGGACTAGAACTGCGTAATGAATGAGTTGACAGGATGCTGAATTCGGAGGCGAGGGTTCAATCGCCCAATTAATCTTTTGCTTCCTTTCAAAATGCATCAGGTTACATTTGCTTCTCGCTCTCTCCTTTTTCAGTAAAATGATAAGACCTCCAGAAAATCCGAGTTTTTGAGGGACATGATAAAAATTTTATATTTAGAGGTTCTGTATTTGACTTGGCGAGTTCGAGTTTTAGAGGTTCAACTGTATGAAAATATGTGAATACTGTATAAAGTTTTTATTGATTTTATTTCAGGTCCATCGGCGTGGAGTTCATGTTCATCAACTCGATGGACCAGTGCAACTGGATCCGACGCAAATTCGAGATGCCTGGGGCCATGGACATGTCCAACGACCAGAAGCGGCTCATCATGGCCCGCCTGGCCCGATCGGCGGGATTCGAGGGCTTCCTGGCCAAAAAGTGGTCGTCGGAGAAGCGATTCGGACTCGAAGGCTGCGACATGCTCATCCCGGCCATGAAGCAAATCATTGACAAGTCCAGCGAAATGGGCGTCGAGTCCATCATCATGGGAATGCCGCATCGTGGTCGTCTCAACGTGTTGGCCAATGTTTGCAGGAAGCCGTTGGAGCACGTGTTTTGTCAGTTTGCTGCCCTCGAAGCTGCAGATGAGGTGGGCAAAGGACAATTTTTCAGTGAATTACTGTAATTGATTAATTGCCTAATTCACTGTGAGATTTGTCTTTTTTTTGTGAACTGTAAGAAATGTATTTGGAAAACCGTAAATCCATTCAGGCGACATATACGGAATGGCCAGCGAATATGAATACTGGAAGGAACTGATGACGTGGGCAGAACACTATTTCGCTAAATCTGTTGATTAATCGCCTAATTACTGTGAGAGTTGTCCTTCTGACCTAGAAGAAATTCATTTAAAAAGTAAATGCATTCAGGCGACATCTACGAAATTGCAAGCAAGCTTGAATGCTGGGAGAAACTGATGATGGGCAAAGGAATATTTCACTGATTCGGTTGATCAATTTTCTAATTTACTGTGACAGTAATTTTTGCTTGTGACCTGAAAAAAGTTATTTAAAATAACGTAAATGCATGCAAGCGACATTTACGAAATTACAGCCAAGTATGTACACAGGGAGTAACGCATGGTGTACAAGCGAACGAACGAGAGAGGAATTGGGTTCTGGGTTCGAATCCTTGCTCAACATTTTTTCTTTTCATCTTTTAGGGTTCAGGGGACGTCAAGTACCACTTGGGTACTTACATGGAGCGATTGAACCGCATGACCAATAAGAATATTAGACTCAGCGTTGTTGCGAACCCGTCTCACTTGGAAGCCGTGGATCCCGTCGTGCAAGGACGCACTCGTGCAGAGCAATTTTATCGCGGAGACAACGAAGGACAGAAGGTACTGTATATTTTTTTCTACATTTTTCACTCGGGGGTTTTTGTTTTCGCATGTGGAATGTATTTTTTGTTTTTATGATTTCAGGTCATGTCAATTTTGCTGCACGGGGATGCTGCGTTTTCGGGTCAAGGAGTCGTTTACGAAACTTTCCACTTGTCGGATTTGCCGGATTATACGACTCGTGGAACGATTCATATCGTGGCGAATAACCAGATTGGCTTCACGACTGATCCCCGGTTTTCTAGGTCTTCTCCTTATTGTACTGGTGTGTTTTTTGAATTCAAAAATCCGGAGAACGTTTTTAGATTTTTGTCACTACACGATTTTTTCTTCATTTGCTTTTCAACAGATGTTGCCAGAGTTGTGAATGCTCCGATTTTCCATGTGAACGCTGATGACCCAGAGGCTGTGGTTCATGTCTGCAACGTCGCTGCGGAATGGAGGGCGACTTTCCACAAGGATGTTGTGATCGATCTGGTAAACTTTTTTTTTTTTTTTTTTTGTCATGCGAATTTTGGCTGAATGCAGTATGTTTGAATTTTTGTATTTTCTAGATTAATGCTCGAAGTGTGACGCGGTATAATTTCAAAGCGAATCATTGCGAGCTCTTTCTTTACGTTTTTGAACACATTTCTTGGGATATTTGCCTCCTGCAAGAAATTAAAATTTAACTTTAGCACAGTGTCAAGCTTCGCCAACAAGGTTATTTTCCAGTGAACAATTCATGATTTTTTCTTCTCGAGTTCAAATGAGTGAAGAGAACATTTTTGATGACGGGAGTAGATTTGAAAGGATATTTTTTAGAATTGTTTGATTTGACGTTTTGAATTTTATTCTTTTCCACCCCAGGTTGCGTATCGCAGACACGGACACAATGAAATTGATGAACCCATGTTCACTCAGCCTGTCATGTACCGGAAAATCAAAGCCAGGAAACCGGTTGCCGAGTTGTATTCTGCCCAGTTGGTGAAAAACGGAGTCATCACCGAAAAGGAATACAAAGATTTGATTGAAAAGTATGAGCAGATTTGTGATGAAGCGTATGTGAATGCACAAAAGGAGAAGCAGTTTTACTACAAGCACTGGCTTGACTCACCCTGGAGTGGATTCTTTGAAGGTACAGTACTTTTGAAGTATTTGTGTGGGTCATGGGATTGTCTTGTTTGGATTTGAAGTTGACATTGATTTTTGAAATGTCAAGCAGGTGTCGTAAAAATTATTACAATTTTCAACGAGGATCCGCGAAACTATTTTTGTTGAATTCGGGCGACATCTGTGTAGCAGGGTGGAAAATCATGAAGGGTGGGGACGTGGGGCAGCGAAGGGAAAATGAGTTGTTCCTGTGTCATTATTTTAGTCAGGCTTTTAATATTCTGATCAGTTCAATTCGGTTATTGTTTTGTCAGGGAAGCAGGAGGATATTTCTAACGCCTTCCCTCAGGAATGTCGACCTTGATTTTTTTAAATTCCAGACAGGTGTCGCTCGAATCAGGGCATCTTTATTGAAATACAGCACAAGCGAAATCTCTCTGGCGGGAAGGAAAATCATGGAAGTGGAAAGAATTATTTTTATGCGTGTATATTTTTTATTTGGATGTTAATCGTAATTCAACTCTTGAATTTCTTTATTGGTTGTCAAAAAAACATGAAATTACTGTATTTGCAATCGAAACAGGGAAGGACCCGATGAAAGTGGCTCCGACTGGACTCAAGGCGGAAACCCTGCAGCACATCGTCACTAGGTTCTCTTCTCCTCCGCCAAATGCCGCAGATTTTAAAATCCATCGCGGGTTGGAGCGTATTTTGAAGGGCAGGATGGATTTGGCAGAAGCCCGCAGTGTCGACTGGGCCATGGGAGAAGCCCTTGCTTTTGGATCCCTGCTGAAGGAGGGCATTCATGTCAGACTCTCAGGTAGAATTAGTTTTGTTTACAGTTATTTGAGCTTCTGTGAGGAGAATACTGTTTTGTTGAATCCTTGGTGTTGAAGAGCAGTTTAGAAGGAATACAATTTTGTAAGTTGTTCATTGAAAGGGAAGGTCTTTTAACTGTCTTCCAATTAGTGGTTCTCATATCTATTGACAACACCTTCCACTTGGAGGCTTGAATGTCTTCGAATGTTTTGAAAGACTTCGTTGGACTTGGAGCTTTGAAGAGGATCGAAACTCTCATGAAATTTTTTTTTTCCAATGTCCATGTGAGAAGATTATTGTTATCTTGAATCTTAAATATTATGAAGAAAACTATAAATCTGTTATTTCTTACATGCCTGACTCTTCAACTCTTTGTTCATTCAAGGATGAACATTGCTAAGTTTCTGCAAAGTGCTGTGGCTTCACAGTTTGTACCAGTGTTCTCCAACCTGAGGTCTGCAGACTGACAAAAAACAAACTTCTGCAGACCAGCATCAGTCTCTTGAGATATTCTCCTTGCCATAGTAAATTCATCAGATGTAGCAATTAAGTCTGTTATGTTTATCCTAAATTTCAGAAAGTCAATGGCAGTTGAAATTATCTGATGAAAAGTAAAAGTTGGCTGTTCTCTTAATGACGCTTGAGGCAAATTTTCATCTCTTGGAATAATTCTGAGAAACCCTTCTTCAAGCCCGGCTTTCCAATTTCATGAAAACATTCCACTATAGTTGCTTCATTGGTTCTTCACTTGAGTTTTGCAGAACTGCAGAAATGTTATAAATACCTGCTGCAAAGTCTTTCAAAAAAAAAACTTGTTTGAGGCTGCACAAATTTGATGAACCTCTGCAGGTCTGCCTAAAATATTTTCGATATTTGCTGGTCTGCAAAAAAATTTATGGAAATTTGCTGGTCCATGGGCCCAAAAAGGTTGGGGAGCACTGGTTGGACTTGATGTTGGGTGTCAAATTTTAGATCAGAATACTGTGAGGGTTTTTCTTTTGGATGCATGGAGAAGTGTTTTGTTTTTGTGTGATGATGAATTTAATTTCGAATAAATTTTTGTTTTTCCCCGAACAGGCCAAGATGTTGAGCGTGGAACTTTCAGCCACAGGCATCACGTGCTTCACCATCAGACAGTGGACAAGGCCACTTACAACATGCTGCAGCACTTGTACCCCGATCAGGCTGCTTACACTGTCTGCAATTCCTCGCTGTCTGAATACGCAGTCTTGGGTTTTGAGCTGGGATTCTCTATGACGAATCCGAATGCCCTGGTGTGTTGGGAAGCCCAGTTTGGGGACTTTTCAAACACTGCCCAGTGCATCATTGACCAGTTTATCGCTAGTGGTCAGACGAAATGGGTTCGGCAGTCTGGACTGGTTGTGCTGTTGCCGCATGGCATGGAAGGAATGGTGAGCTATATTTTTCTTGTGGATTTTGGTTTCTTTAAAAAAAAATTGGGGATTGCGAAAAATTGTGTGTTGGCTATTCTTGGAAAGGAGTTGGTGTTTGTTCAAGTGGAATCTAGGGTATGTACCGTGTTTTTTGAGTTTCTGGCATTTTTTGATGGATCCGTTTTCTGAGGTTTTCGGATTAAAATATAATTCTTAAAGAGGATCAAATTGCTAAAAAGAATTGTATATTCCTTGCATTTGTGAGGAAAAAAAAATTTCGGCTGTGTTATTGACGCCTAGTTTTAAAAGTGCTTTTGCTTGTTTGAGGGAAAATGAAGGCATTTCTTTTTGTGAATTTATTTCATTTTATGTTGAAGGTATTATTCCGGTTTAAAATATAATTAGGATGAGGATAAAAACATTCTCAATCTTTCATATTTGTTGTATTTATCAAGAAAACAAAATTGTGTATGAGGAATTGAAACCTGGGTTTTAAAGGGATTGTTTGTTGCATTTGTTCATTAATTGTCTGGATTAAAATAAGATTTAAATGGTGATCAACTTTTCTCGATCTCTTATATTCCTAGTGTTTTTGAAAAAAATTATATTTGCAAATGTGGAATTGAAACATAGGTCTTATGTTTGTTTTAGGGGAATCGGAGCGCTCTTCCATAAATTTCTTGCGTTGTTTGATGGACCTGTTCTATAAGATTTACATATTACAAGATTTTTTGAAATGTGATGAAATGTGATGTGTTCCATGTCTTCTGGAAGAAAATTGAAATTACAAAGGTAGTATTGAAATCTATTCTTCAGCACTTTTTTTAGAAATTCTAATTCTAATTATTTTGTGAATATCTTGGATTGTTTGATTGATCTGTTTTTAGAGGGTTTCGAATTGCAATGTACTGTATTTTTAATGATGATAATATTTGATATTTCTCGATAATTTATATGCAATTTTATTTATTTATATTTTTCTAAAGTGTGGATCTGAAATGTATTCCTCTGAAAGTGGAACGTGTGGTAATTTGAATTGAGAAATGGATCTTTTCTCACCGTGTGTTTCGGAAATAAACAAGCAATTTTGCACGGGATGTAATGAAGAAATAATTTTTGGTCCTCTTGTCGTTCAGGGCCCTGAACACTCGAGTGCTCGCCTGGAACGTTTCCTGATGATGTGCCAAGAAGACCCGGATTATTTCCCGCCGGAAACGTCGGAATTCCCCGTGCGCCAATTGCACGACATCAACTGGATCGTGTGCAATCCCACGACGCCCGCCAATTACTTCCACATGCTGCGCAGGCAAATTGCGCTGCCTTTCCGCAAGCCCCTGATTGTCATGACACCCAAGTCCCTGCTCAGACACCCCGAGGCCAGGTCATCGTTTGATGAGATGGGCGAAGGGACAGAGTTTCAGAGGATTTACCGCGAGGCTGGACCAGCTGCGGAGAACCCTGACGCTGTGCAGAAGCTGATTCTTTGTTCTGGTGATTTGCATTGCCCTTTTCTTTTCAATTTTGAACAAGTTTTGGTTAATCGAGCGATTATTTTTCATTTGTTGTGCATTTCCTGAGGGTTTTTAGACGAATTTTTTTAGTTTAGCCTTGTCAAAAAATGTCATTCTGTATTGTATGCTGTATCTTCCAAATCCATTGAATGCTGTTTTGAAGACTGTTTTTGAGACTATTTGATCAGAGTCTCTTGAAGTATTTGCATCAGTCATTGTAATTTCCTAGGGTTGTTTTTTCAAACAAATTTTTGAATTTTCAATTAAATTTGCTGTGCTTTATTTGTAAAGGGGA